CGACAATCATATCTACGCTAAACCGCGGATAGGGAGCAAAAGACGTTGTCACAAGCAAATATCGAGCGTGGATAGTGAACATTTTTTCTTTCTCTAATTATGTGATGAATAATAAGAGCATTTCTCTAAGCAGCCTCATCAGTCCTTCACTGCTAAAGAAGCAGGGATCTATATGAAAGAAAATAAAATTAGTTATGGACAATAAGCGGAGTTACATGCTACGAGGACATATGTTTGTCCTTGTCGCATTATCAAATGTTATTGTCCATATCAGGAAGGTAAGGGCAGGAAATGTTGCTTTTACTTTACTCGGTCACGTGCAATGCTGCCCGTTGTACCAGGACAAGATTAAGCTAGCCCTTACAGATAACCACTAGACACTATTTACAGCTAGGAGAATTATAGGTTATTTATGATGATATAAGATAAGCCAAACAATAAATACAAACGCTTGCTATTATCATAACAACAGCCTTTAACTAAATCATTAATTTATTAAAGCATTTCTGTAAGATATTAGCGTATAACATATGCACATATATATATATACAATAGATATATGAGCCAATTAATAATATCAGTTGGTGCCCATTTAATCAATGAAAGCCTCGTCTTAATCGAGAAGTTCCATACTAGCAGTTATTATATACCTGACCCTTATCCAACAGCTTGAATTATTCTGTCCCAAATCCCGTATCCCCCCGTAGCCTATTCTTCGAGTATTGTTCGGGTGTGGTTACTTCGTCATGTAACGCGGCAGAGCACGTCGAGCCTACCACACAGGCCCATACTGTATGATCAACAGGCTCGCCCCCCGTATTTCATCTGCTGGAATCTGGAATGGTCGTACACAATGAGCCGCTGCCTTTGTGCACGCAATGGAAGGAAACAAGCGGAGCCTATCCGAGTGTTCATTTCTGCGTTTATCCATTGTATATCGCGCTAATAAAGGACGTTTCGCTTAGTGCCTTTCTATCCGCATATATTGTATTTCTTCACACCATTCGGAAGACAATTTTCACAACTCTAAAAGTTTTTGTTGTCATCGATATCGTCGTTTACTTTAAAGAACGCTTGTATCCCTGTCATAGTTCTTTTACTTCTGTCAACCATTCGGTCTGCACTTTGCAAACACGTACTGATGTTGGTATTTACGTTTTATTTAAGCGTCTGCTGTAGGCTCACTGTTATTGACAACAAGCAACTAGGCCTGACTGGCAAAAGTAGCAGACGGTAATAAGAACAGCGACAACAATCAGAGCAATGACAACACCTATAACACGAATTCTAATGCAAGACCATACACGATGTAAAGTCGTTGGCCAGGTCTGTCGAGTTGCGCTGCGACAGCAGAGCAGTTTTGCGCTTACTGTTTGAGACGTTAAGACGGATTTCTGGTCAGCCAGCCAAACCAAGTAGGCCAAGACACATTAAGAGAAGACAAAATGTGGACCTGAAGTATTCTTCAGTTTAGCTGTAACCGTTGGGCGTGGCCTACTGCTCCGATTGGCGTTCCACTAGCATTGGCTTGCCCTTCCATGAACCAACAACCATTCCTTGCATGTTAAGTTTTCTTGGTCTTTTTTCTACTAAAATAGGGCAAGGTTACGCCATGCGAACAAGTCGCTGTAGGCTAATACACCCGGTTTGTTCAACTTTGCCAGTTGCCGATGTTCCCTAATGTCCTTCGGCCTATTTTTTTTTTGTTAATTTCCCTTAACATCTCTACTCAGTGGCAGGCATATGTGGTCTACTTTTTTGGGTTGTTTTCGTTGCTCAAGCGGCAGTTGCGCTAAGACGAGCAAGTATATGATCTTATTTCCATAACTGAAGGCCTTCCAGTTCATGTTATGGTAGTAAGTGATAGTCGGCAAAAAAGATGAAACTCCGTCATGGCTGGAGAGGCCATTCGCACATTGATGTCCCCAAATAATTAGAGTAAGGGAGCAGGTGACTTGTATAAGAGTTCAAGTTCAACAATGCTCTGCAAGCGGAGCTGTTACTGAAAAGTCGTTCTACTGAAATGTGTTACACCATATCGTAACACCTTCTTTAAGCTACATTCCTGTAGGCTTCTTCTACTAAAACACCAGCAAATGTTTGCGTGGTTACCGAATGGTTACCTCCTCCTACTGTTCACTGCTTTTTGGTCCCGCTGTTCTCACGCCTCAGCGCCAAAATGGACAACTTCCATTTCCGGCTACTTTCGGCTCGACAACTGTTTTACTTCGACTTGTCGTCTGCGTTGTTGCCATCATGCTTTCCTTCGTCTTCTTTTGCGGCTAGCTTGGTCGATTTGCGGGGTCTTTTGTTGGCCTCTTATCGCCGTTAACATCGCACAGGACCGTCGCATGGTTGTGCCCTGTGACTGGCTGCCACTGATGTTGTCCTATGACTGGCAGCGCCTGATCGACTTCCGGACTCAGCTATAAGGTCCAGAACTTTAAAGGCGACCCCGATCTGCTCTTGAACTGATCTAAATCCGTGTTTTGGTGTCTCGGCGGTTGATAACGCGATCGAAAGAGAATCTCCTGGGCCTCAGGTTGCTCTAATTCCAGCAGAAACATCACAGTCAGGCTTGTAGACAGACAGAAAAGCTGCAAAGAATGGCACGGCAAATAGCAACAAAAAAAAACATACAGATTTAAAATGATCCGTTGACATTTCCGATGCTGTAGAATTGTTGGAGTTGTACCAATAATGCGTCGTACATTAGTTATCCCGTGTGAGCTATCCGATAGGACAAGCGATAGAGTACTCGTGTTGATGGTTACACTTTTGCACAGGGAAAGTGTAGAGCGAAAATTCAATTATAAGAGAAATTAAAGATTTACAAAAAAATGAAAACGGCAAACGAGCGGAGTAACATGGAATTGCATTAAACTTGTAATATTCAAGTCAGGTTAGAACTTACTAGCAAGCAGACCATCATACCCCATAGAGGATCTTTGCAAATGAATGTATAGCACATTAATCTTTCCCTCTTGTGCAATTAATTCTTGACTGAAACACGTTCCATATATTCTAGACCCACAGATGCCAGCCTAGATCAGTTTTTACAAACAGGTAACACAAGGGCAAATAATTTAGGTACCCCTAGGGTAGGACTTGCTTAATATGACGCGAGCGATCAGCAAAATCGATATATATTTTCAAATTTAATTTTCGTACATAAGTGAATTAATTGTGTTGCATGAAGATAGTGTAGCTGCAGTTATGTACTGACAGGCTTTGCTCTATAGCTTTTTTCGGATGGCGAATTATTTCAACATTGTGCCTAATAGCAGTCCGGTTTCTTTACACTGCCAACAGATCTAATACGTTAGCTGCTTGACGGGTCGATACGCAAATACCTATCAATAAAAGGACTCTGACGAACGGTTCACAGTGATCATCCATGTCATATTGAACCATTCTGGACCACAAAACAAGAATTAGCTTTTGTGTAACTTATGACGCACGGTCCACTAAAGAAAACGTCATACGTCAATACCAACTACACAGGTATGAGCCGTTCAAACGGCGCATGTCTAACGCGGAGCCTTTCGCTCCTGAATCCCTGTAGACTTTTCACAACGCAGCGGGAGACAGTGCTGAATCCAATCTCGAAAACGACACAATAGCGACTGAATTGCAATCTCATTGTTATTCCTGGAGGCTTATCAAATTCTCTGTTGTCATAGAGGGGACGATGTTACTTGTTTATCAAAGGTTTATGCAAACCATAGTCAAATCCCGCGTATAAAAAAAAAAAGTACAGATGAAGGTTTTGGTGGCCCCAGATATATTTGTACTACCGTAAGTTTAAAGCTTTCCTTTTCTAATCGGACCCCACTCGACAGTGAACACTAGCTACCAAACTACCATTATATCTGAAGTGCCAAGTACTGAATCGGACGAGCAGCATCGACACAACACGCCGATACCATTGGCTATACACACATGGATAATCCTCAAATGCAGTAGCACAGACACAGCCTACACCCATATAATTGTTCGATCACAAGTGATATTTTCCATTCTAATAGAGGATTATCTTTTTCTTTAACTAACAGGTTGTGGATCAGTCATTAACGGGCTATTGAGATCAGAGAAAGCACAAATGCCCAACACTTAATAATAAATGTATTCGATTCAACGGCTGCAGTAGACGCAAAAGCCCCTTCAAAAAAGGACAACGTGCATCACCGTGGACAGTGATGCCGTTTGCTTGCCCTGTCGGTATGGACTCAAATGGAGAACTCCGTACAATCACTAGCCCTTCGAATTAAAGCGTCGTTGATTTTGATTGTACCTCCCGTTCCGCTGTCGTTATCGTCAGATCGCCCCAGCTGCAAAAATGAAACTGAATGATCCGTTTCCCCCTTAGCAGTGCCGAGGTAGCCGGATATTCTATTGTTCCATCGACAGATCAGACCCAAAGATACCGATCTGACCCGTTTCGTCTGCCTGATTTGAATTCGAATCACCCGCCACAGTAATTGCGCTGCTATTGCGGTCCTCATCTTACAGCAGTGACACCCTAAGCATTGAGCTGTTGGTGACAGACGAATACCAACAGATTATTTGGGAGGTGGGAAACCCGAAACCCGTTTACGGATTGCCAAAGGGACCGTAGCATAATTTCTAAAATTTGGAAGCTAAAAACCACAGAACGGCTTTCGCACATATACACGCAAACCAAAGTAACGATTGTATAATTGGGTAGTAGTGAAGTTCAAAGAGACTAAAACCCGAGAACACTTGAGGAGTGGCTAAGGTGCGTAAACCAATTGTAATGTAGTGTTTGTATAGGTTGGACTTTACTGCGCATGATACGCGTAAGTAAAGGAAAATCGGAAACAGTGGCGCAATGTCGAAGTTGGTAACTGTATTATACCAGGTGTCGACCAACAAGTATATATGGTACTAATATATTAATTGCATTGCCATGGTAACCGTGAACATGCGGCGATTCTTAGCTCGACTTTCAATGTCTATTACGGCATATTACTACCGTTCCGTCTTATAGGTCTGTTAGAGAAAAACCTAAATAAGTCTAGACGTTGATAGAAGCTAAACAGTACTGCCGACGAAGTCCGCTTCAATATTTTTCTCACTGGTTGAAACCTTCGACATGCGTATTGGAAAATACGTTGAATGATAGACGTACCTCGCAGATATGTTTAATATGAATCGCGCAGCTACCTACCTTACCTCTAGATAACTTCAAGTTTGTAAGTATTCAGTGTAAATCTCCTAGTTCTGTTAATCATCTGGTGAATACGAGTACTTTTCACATATACAGATAGCACAATTATAGGTATAAGATGCAAGCCCCAATTTACCGTAACCTTCATTCCGGCCGTAACAGCCAGTCGAACTTATATGAGTCTATTTTAGAATTGGTATTACTGGGTTAAGGTAACTTAGAATTTGATTATCTGCCTACCTATATGGTTCTATTTTAGGTAAAAAAAAAAAAAAAAAAAAAAGGTAGTCAAAATTCTTCCCTTGTATCTTTTTGTGAGATTTTTCTATATAAAATAAAGGGATTTCAAGTGCTTAGTTCTAGATAGAGAGAATGAAATGAACTAATAGAATAGGTAAAATTAAGTGAATTTTTTTTAACTTGCTTTAGACATCGTACGAAAAGGAGCAATTAACAATACGTTATGACCTTTTGTCTTCTGACTACTTGGGACGATTTAATATAACGGAAGCGAATGCAACACAAAACGTACCAGGTAGATTAATTATGGAAAAAAGATGTCGAAATACCAGAAATAATACGAAAAAACCTAAAAATTTAACCTAAAAATAAAAAGTGTCGGTGTGAAAATCAAAAAAAAAGTTCTTATGCCATAGTGAATAGCTTAATCGAATCCTTGACCGAGACGTTGGATCGCTTTCCAAAGACCACTGTAATAATAAACAATAATATTTTGGCACAAATGTTGTAATACATATAAGAATACTAAAACAAGTTACTTTCGCCCTGTGCACTTTATCGGTATCCTATAGTGCACAGTTATTGAATCCCTGAGTTTTTGACATAGATACTTGGAGCCCCTTACTACCCTATAGCGATTGCGTTGAAAACCACATGAGAAACTGGCGCGCAATCCTTGATTGAAGTCAGTGTTTTCAAAGTGATGCAGCTTCTATGTTTGAATAAAATATATCTAAATGGGAAATCAAAAAAGCGAGTAGATCTCTAATTCCACTGAGCCGCATCCACACTCTACCGATTTTACGTCTCTTTATATCTTTGCTGAATACCTGTTCCATAATTTCTAGGAGATTGTTTATGTCCATATATTTGGAAGCGTGTTTGGTTACTGTCGTGTGATTGTTTGCTAAAAGCTACTTTTTAGCAGGTTGGCCAATTAAAAAGGCGAGCTTTTCGCACGGCTGACATGATTGTTTCGTCTTCTTAGCAGGTCTTGTGTAGCGATGTCGGGAAGACAATCAATAAAAATGGCATAAGAACAGGCACGCAACGATGAATGGAGCAGCAGGTAAAATAGTTTTACGGATAAAAATGGGTCCCTTCAGGGAACGTTGCTCTAGGAATATAGGAACAGCAATCCATGGTCCGCTGGCAAGGTTTCTAAGGTAATGACAAAACACAGGTAAAAATGCTATTTTGGGTGGTACGGACAGGAAATGAGAGGGAAGGGATATAAAACTGGCACGATTCGCTGGTTTTAGCGACAACGGTACGAGCAGACGCCATACGTTAGGGGTTAACGTGTTATCAGCTAGGGTTCTCTTCTTTCAAAAAACCTTAGACAGCTCAGCGGAAGTGGTAGGAATAGCTGGAATGAGATACGCAAGACATGAGCGCTGAATAACCCCCATCGGGTCACGAGTAGAATCCTCATCGATGTACCAATCTGTCACCAGCCGTGTTTTAGGCTTCTCGAATTGCAGTGATTCAGACGAACACGGTACCGCACCATAAGAACGGTTGTAAATTAAGGGTTCTTTAGACTGGTGCTTAGGGTCGTGTAGTTTCTATGGGCTATGTTGGGGCTGCAAATTGAGAAAGACATGGAATAAAACGGGAGATTTGCAGTAGTTTTACCACATAGCCCCGTAATATGGCCGTGTATCACCCTTGGGGACTAGATTCTACGTAATCGGTGTATTAGCAAAACGAGAGGAAAGAAAATGGACTTCCTATTGAGGAACGTATTACACATTATTTGGAATAAGCCCAGCCATAATTAAGGAAAACAGTGATTGCTTAACTTAAATTGCACATCTAATCGAAGAAATATATATATCTGCACAAGATCAGTTGTTGGAGATTTTATTGAATGCACCCGGTGTTTCTTATGACCTGTTAGTAAATTATTATATCAACCTAAGTTATTATATTAACTTAGTTAGTTTTAATAATTTAACTCAAAGCAGGAAGAAATGCTAAGCTCCCGGCTATACGTTTAGCTATAGCCTAGCTAACCCAGCTAACGGAAATATTAGAATGTGCACATTTTCTGCTTGATGGTGGCTAGTTCCCCTTTTTTATTACGATTTGTCTTATTTACTCGTCGGTTTCCCGTCTTCACTCAAACCAGTTGCCGTCCAGTGTTTAACAACCTTCGTCTAACGCTGATTTCACCCCTGCAACTTGTGCCGCGAAGCAGTGCTAAGACGAAGAGGAACTAGAATTCGAGGATCTATACACGAACAATGTTACTATCATCTGTTTTCTTTATTTATTTTTTTGGTTTTGTTGATTGCTTACACCGTACGGTTGAGAAGGCGCGTTCTGTGTGAAGAAGCAAGGGATGTCGATTGCGCAAAAGAAAATTCGCTGAATGTTCTGCTTCTATAAACGATCCAGATGCCTCTACCCTACTTTGATGTCTTGATAGATGCTGGTTACAATGGAGTTACTTGCACGCTGCCTTCGACAGTTCGCTAGTAGTCGCATTTAATAGGACTCATTTGTTATTGGACCTTGGGTTGGTGCCCAGATACATTTATCTTGTAAACGAAGATCTAACGAAGACCTTGTTGACTAAGGAGTTCGGTGGGGGAGCTTGGGGCGGGGAAATCGGTTAGGGTGGAACCTACACTAAGCAAGAGCAAAGAGTAGCATAGTAGCTACGAAGATCACAGTGTGCAAAGACATTTCAAATCTCCGAAATTGTGCGCGGCAGTCGCCAGTTCCATCGCAATTGCAATGGCGCTGTACGCTGAATAAAATAGAAGCAGCTGTGGTGGAAATGTTGCTGGAGGAAAGCGTTACTTTCAAGAGCCCAAGCAGAAAACTGGCCTAACAGTCACACCTAGATGTGGTCTAAGATTGCCTTATATTGAGAACCTTTGAAACGCATCGAAGATCAAAAGGTTCGACCTAAGGATTTTAGAAGACTCTCCACATTTTCGCCGAGCACTCTGAGTCAACTCTGTCGAAGTCAAATATAGCTTTAGCTTCCTAAAGCTGAGCAGGTACATTTGTGGAAAAAATTATCGGTGCAGAAATCTTAACAAGCTCTTCATTAATAAAAACTACTATTGCGATTATATATATCCATTTACATCAGCAAGTGTTTACGGGACGCAAAGGGGAAACGGAAAAAAAATATAAAGGTCAATGTTATGTTTAGAAAATATAAAATTATAAATTAAAAAAATAAAAAATAAAATAAATGTAAAACAACATAAACAGTCAATTCACTTTTTTTAAAGTTCTCTAACCACGTTCTACAGTAATTTAATTCCAGCGAAATCCAGATCGATGTATTTATTTTTTCAAGATCTGTCCTAATATCGGGACATTTGTTAGTCCTGTTTAGCCTTTTTTTTTTATATCTTGTAAAATTTGTTTTCCTTTTCAGTTTTGGCATTGCTGGAATATTAAGCGTAAATACACTATGCTGTACAATGTTATACCCAATGTACTACTTTTTTTGCATAAAAATCTATTTTAAGCTTCCCCAACGGTATCAGCATGTTTTCTTAGGACCGCCGTATTACTCGTGACTGCCAACGCGGTAGTTTATATTGCTATGCCTTTGGTTTAAGAAGACCAGAGTTCACTGCTTCAAGCCCCCCACCAACGACTTGTGCTGCAAAATCCGTGTAAATAAAAAAGCTAACACAGGCCTTTTTTGAACGGGACAACAGGTCCTGTTAATCGCACCGCCATATGCCCGTAGTCGTCTATCGGACAGATTTTACGTGCTCTGATTGTCGCACTATTGGCGAACTGTGTAAGTGGGACCCGTGTTCATAGGGGAAATGGAGGACCAGAAACAATTTGGTCAGGAGACTTCAAAACAGATCTGTCGGGACTCATCAGTGTTAGTCCCGCTTTTCTCGAACCTCGTGAGAGTCTATAGAACAAATCGTAGATAATGCACGAATGGAGCCAGGATGAAGCATATACAACGTTGACAGAAATCGAACATACATACGATTGTAAAGTTTGCAGCTGGTACAGTGATTTTCTGCGTTGTTATTGCTGCCTGTTGGAAAAAAGGCTAATGCTACAGTGTGGAATATAGAGAAAGTGGATCGGAAAGTCCTTTTGATTGAGAAAAGGCCGTGGTTATTTACAATGGTAAAGATGTTGTATCATTTTAGCTCGAAAAAGATCTGAAGAACGATAAGAAATTGTGGTGCTATAATCACCAGTAAATGCGGGGAAAAAAAGACTCGACAATGGCCTGGTGGAAAAGGATTACTAAAAGGGGTATCTAATCACAGCAAAAGCTTGCATGGACCTGCAGAAAATCGTCAGCCGTCGATAAATCGACGTTGGTTGCGTCGTACTGACACAGCACAAAGCAGAAAAGAAGAATCGTTTGTCAGGATTAAATCAGACATCCAGCAAATGAAAATGCAAAATCGCATTATCATTGACTTTATACAATAATACAAAGTCATCCTCATCCATATCTGATGTCTTTTGACAGGTTATCATATCATTTTGCGTCGTTGGTCCCTTTTTTTGCAGACTGGTTGGCGTTGCGCTTCGGGTAAAGTTAACAACAATCATTTTTTGCTAAGTCTAATTTGGTAGAAAACTACAAGTTTAAATTTTTCACCAATGTGATGAATTTTTTTTAACCAATAATGTATATCGCAGGGGTTCCTCATATATTCACACAGCAATAACACACCGATTCGAAAAGGCCGCTGCAAACAGAGCCTGCCATCTGGCCTCTAGATGCAGCTAGATCAATAACAGTGAACGCAATTTTACAGTTTAACGCTAGTACACTGTTACGGCTTCCTATGTTTTTTCTCTTTGCTCCTGAGCTGTTCATTCTGACGTTACCCTCGTTTTTTTATCCCCTGATCTCTCCTTCCCACTACACAGACGAGGAACGCAGCCAAAAAGGTTTCACCAGCGGGAGGCATATTGTTTCTACTCCTCATTTCTTCGCAGGAATCACCCCTCGCTCTACAGACTTCACTACCCACATGTAGATTCGTGGCGACAAATCAAAAGGAGCTAACACAGTTCGAAATGTCACCGATATGGGTGAATGAGGAGGCGCAATGTCGTGTTGGGTGGTAATAGAGAGGTGCCGAGGTTGGCCAGTAACCTCGGAAATGAAAGAAACATGTGCCAGCGGGACTAAGGGAATGAAAGGAACAGCCTAGAAATGTTTAGTAAGCGTAGACGTACAATTATCGTCGACGTTCGAGAACGAACCAAGGCGGTTAGAGAAGACACCGACCGATAAGTCGGAGAAGAGAGCGCTATGGATTAGGATGTTCCACAAATACGAAACATCGCTTGGAAAATGTATCACGAACAGCATCGGGAATAGATTATCGGGGTCTACGAGAGACCTTTCCGAATGTCATTGCGATTAACGACCTCACGCCGGACTAAACGGAAAGCACCGCTGTTGTCGTGACTAAGTATCGGCGTACCGGGGTTACCAAGCTAAAAAGCATCTGTAATCGAAGTCTTGGCATGAGTTGTGATTGAGCTGGGGACTACGCAATTCAAGTGGTATACTTCACGTTGCGCATGTTGTGAAGTTGAAGTACAGAAATAAAAACGAAATCTCTAGTTTGTTGAACATTGTACCGTCCAGAGTCTATAAAAAGGAAGGCAATGTTACGTTAAAGGAGAAATAAGTATTGTAATCAGATAAACGAAGGAAGACTTTTTTCATAATTGATTTTCAGCCGTCGTTTCTGTCATGGCACACATTTCAGTTTCGGATAAAGGATATCCATCCGAAAATAGAAAGTTGAGGTAGGCGCCTCAAAATGTATGTATAATATGAGTGCTAATGAAAAAAAAAGGGTGATAGAAATTCCATATCTTTAAAGCCTTATCTGTAAATTTTACTCAAACAGGTTTTATAATGCTTGCTGCAGCTGTTGTGTCTCTTAATCACACAGCGTCAAGCCGCCGAGAGTGGTTGATAAAGCCATAGAAGTGTTGAAGCTTGGTAGATCGCGTATAACATTACAAGGCGAATCAAATCTTCTTTGAAGCTGAGGATAGAAAGGACTGCAACGGGAGGCGTGTGAACGAGTCGCAGGAAAACATCTGTAACGCCGGTGACCCGCTCAAGCCAGACCCTACAGTCCAGAGCATCTGCAAGTCTTGCACAAATCGCATCACAGAATCGTCACTGATTCAGACTTTTAAAGAAATTCGTCAGCACAGGATTCGATTCAAAATCGTTTCGGAATCAACCATAAGATTCCTACATCTTTCGCTATCACCGGCAGTCGAAGACTTTTTGAACCAGGTCCTGTTTGTGTTGAAAACATAAATCATGGCAAGAAACAGGAGTTCCAAACCTCGCAGTTAATCAGAGTACACTTTCAGCATAAAGACGAAGACCAGAATCATAAGAAACGCCAAAGATTATTTCGTTGAACAGCGGCGGTGCCTCCACTAGCGCTCCGGAAGTATGGGATTCAGTCGTAGCCCTACGCTAACGGAAAACCGGCAGCCGGCCCATTGGACTTACCGGGCTTTTACTCCGTTTATTGTCCTGGAAAGTAAGGAATGGGCTACGGCCGCCCCAGTAGCAAAGTTTCGGGGGTTTATACTGAGTTGGAGACCTGATTCCACACAATGTAGAGGGCAACGTCATGGCGTTATGTGGCGCAGAATACGGCTCGTGGCGACACATATGTGATAAAGAGCCCTCGTAGAAAAGCTTTTCGGCGGCCTGCAGGTCGTAGCAGACCCTGCTTCCAACACTGCCGTCATCGTTGCAATAGACTTCAATGCGCGTCTAGACCAGTTCACCTTAAGCCATTAGGCCTTCACGGCACAGTGGTGGAGCATCATTGCGGGATAGTTAGGCTCAAGGAGGTACTAACGTTTCTCGGTCCTGCAAAAAGCTCTATCATAGACATCTCTGCAAGAAACGTGATTGGACTAGAGTAAGCTCTTAGAAGGGGTTTACAAGGTCGTGCCAATATTTAACTCAATGGATGTTGAGGTCTATTCACGTCATATCGTCGAAATCCTACAATCTTCGATTAATCCAGTTCGCCCTAGAAAACATTCGGGCGCAGTTTCATTACAAATTCCGTGCGTAGGTGCCGTTAGGTTACTGGCAATACTACAACCAGCATCGGGGCCACTGGCCGCCGGGTTCAAAGTGATCTGCCGGAAAACATATGCCATTTGGCATAGAAAATACTTGAAATGGCGGGACGCTATTCTCATAAAGGAGGCCAAGCGTCAGCTGTATAAACGGCTTGCCCCACGTAGACTTACATCGTGTCCTGCTGCTTTAACAGTGTTCATGGACCACTCTACTATTTTCATTTGGTGACACCTTATTACAGAAAGTCTCATCAGTTAATGCAACGTGGAACGAACTGACAACGAATAAACACAACAGGTCGGGACATGAATCCTCCGTTCTGAAGGTGATTCAGGCGCTTGAGAGCTTACGCTCAAAAAGGGCAGCGGGACGATCCGAGATTCGAAATGAATGTTGCAAGATCACCATTGGGCTTGCGCTGTACTGGACGGCTTTACTTAATGAATGTTTTCGTTTCGCACGATTTCTTCTTCATTAGGGGGGTGCAATGCTCCCCGATGTCCCAAAGGGCAAAGGCGATTTAAGCCAACCAACCGCATAGCGTAGAATCATGAATAAAAACATCTGCTTTAAACTTCTCCCATGTCTGTTGGCAAGGAGACTAAACGTGTTGTTAGAAAGTGTGAGCGTGATATCCAAGGAGCATTACGGATTCAGGTAGAAGCGTTCGACCAAAACACCACGCAGGATCCCATGTGCCGATATCAAGCGAATTTTACGTAGCTCCCGGCAATATATTTACGCACTGTTTGTAGATTTCAAAACTACCTTCGATTCTGCCTAGAGGAATTTAGTATTAAGCATTTATTTCGACGTCGAAGTTCCCGCGAACGCGCTTAACCTGATAACGGTGACGCAATTGATGAATGAGTCTCAGAACTGCCAGCGTTTTCCTAGGCTACAGATGTAACCTAGGGTTAGTGCTTAAACCCTCTCCTTTCCTCAGTCTTGCTTCTGGATTTTCAGGGTAAAACGTAGGTCCCAAAAATGTAATTCTTTCTTCATTTTTTTCTAAGCAGGCGATTTAATTACTTACGCGACTAGTCGC